ATGGTGGCAGAAACTGGTATGGCTAGTCTAGAGAAAAGAAGAGAGTGACATGATAGCAGTATTCAAAAATTTGAGGGGCTGCCATTAATAAGATGGGGGTCAAGTTATTTTCCAAAGCACTAGAAAGCAAGGCACACTAGAAGACCTCCAAGGTCCCTTCCAGCTCTATTCCGATTGATTGAAGGTTCAAAAGGGAAGGTCTATAGAGGGAATTGGCTGATGAGAAAGATTGCAATACGTGTGTGGGGGTGGGTGGGAGACTGGGAATGAAATGAAGAAAGCTTGACTAAGAGGCAGGAATTCCAAGGAGCTCAGGAAAGAGTTATTTTTTCTTCTTCCTCTGTAGGCTTCAAACCAGGCTTGAGAAGCGAAGGTATTGAAGCTGCCAGATGAAATGAGCATATCAAAGTAATGTTAGACAGACACACGTGAGTCAGGAAAGGTGAGACAGCTAAGAAACTACCAAAAAACTCCCTATTGAAATGCCTAGTTTGTTCAGCTAAGACCATTATATATTTTAGAAATAAACACAAAACACAAGTGGGAAAAGGACTTTTGGCTTTGGTTTGTTTGCATGGTGTCCTATATTTGTCCGTGGAAAAAAGCCCAGAGAAAAATCTTTTCCAGTCAAGTAAGAAATCAGATTTGGAGCAGAGAGAAGAATCCATACACACAAAGGAAACAAAATGAAGGGGGGGAGGGGGGAGTAGAAAATAAGAAATATGATCTTGACAGAAATGTGCAAGAACCATTACCTAGGCAAAAGGGATTGAAATGTTTTTTTTTTAAAAGCCAGAGCAACAAGTTGCATGCCTCCTTGGTTCACTGGAGTATAAGAAGGGGGAGGAAGTAAATCCAGTCAGACTGGCAAAATTTTGTTGTTATAGCCAATCTGAATAAAAGTAACTTAGCTTTCATGTAGAGTTTATTATCTAGTCTGGTCTACCAAGTAGAGCTGACAACAAAACACATTCAAGTATAAAGTTTGAATGGACTTTTCAAGTCTTAATTTAAGAAAAAGTGTTTGTATAGGAGGGTGAGGTACCCTGATTAATAAAGCTTTAAATCTCAAAATTAATTTTTTTGGGGGGCGGGGTCTGTTTACTAAATCCATCCAAAGTGTCACATAGACCTCTAGAACAGGGGTCTCCATCCTTGACAATTTTACGACTTGTGGACTTCAACTCCCAGAATTCCTCAGCCAGCACGCGCTGGCTGAGGAATTCTGGGAGGTGAAGTCCACAAGTCGTAAAGTTGTCAAGGTTGGAGACCCCTGCTCTAGAAGCTTCCTGCTCTGAAAATGAATAAAAGACAGACATGTTATGAATAAGTTGTTGGATATATTGCTAATGTTGCATTTGTGCTGTGTGGACTGGAGGTATGATGTGAATCTGGAACGTAGACGTGCTAACCCTCCCTCCCCCAATATTCTGGATTGAGGCCCCTTTCAAGATGGCCCCCACCTGTCTATTTGTTTACAAGACTGGCTCTTCACTGAGGCAGTGTGAGAGCATGAGATCCCTTCTTTCATCAAATTTGCCATCTTTTATCTTTTATTTTTTATGTTTTAGTGTTTTTCTTAGAATTTATTTAATATTGCCTCCCAGAGCCATTGAAAGGTGGCCAATGTACACTCTAGAAATTCCAAGATATTATAAAGGCATTTCAAATACATGCTGGAAATGCAAACAATGAGAAGGGACGTTGTACCATGCTTGGTGGATGTGTAAAAAAACCCAACACTAAAAAATTCTGGATTCCAATGCATACATTCAGAAGATTTTAAAGATTAATATACAATTGGAACCAGAGGTCATTTTTACTTTTACTTTTTTTTCCTTGCACTTTTAACTTTCTCTTTTTTTCTTTCTTTATATCAGTTTGTATTATTGGTTTTTAATGTTCTTTCATAAAATGTTTAATAAAATGATTTAAAAAGTTGGGTGACATAAGTAATATATTTGTATTATTAAAAAATAAAACAGCATTTTGCAAAGTCTCAATTGCTGCACAAAGACCGGATTTCTGATATGACATTTTGCCACAGTATCTCTTTTTGGGACACATAGAAACCTGTATGGTGCAACATTATTTTACCTTTTTTTAAAAAAAGCCACCTGTGATTTCCAGCACAAATAAATATATGAATTTTTCTTTTTGTATCTTACTGTTTAAGATACCTTTTATGAAAGGCAGCTAGCTACTGAGTTCACCTCACATAATAGTTTTAACAGTTTGGGAAGAAGGACATTTTTGACATTCGTGGAGCAAAATATAGAAATGCTTGCTGCCTTTGATGTACTGGGGTGTGTGCGTGAAATCTAAGTGCTAAGTAACTAGAGACAGAACAACAGTAGTACTATGCTTTTACGTTTTCCCTGTTTCACATGTAAAAAACAATATTGTTATCAAAGATAGAACAAGATACCTTTCCAGCAAAAGTGAGGCATGGTAGAATCTTCTCAAATGTTGTGTTGACTTAAGGAAATGTCAAATTCTGATTTTTATCAGAGCTGCTGGACTGGAACAGAGGGTTAAGCTTTCCCCTTGCACTATTTCCCTATTCCACCGCTCCACCCCAGGCCAGCTGCTATAAGCTTGTGGGGTTGTGGGGGGGTGGGGAAGGAATACAGGAACAGCCTTTAAAGTCTTACTGGTTCAAGGCCAGCCTGCTAGACACAAATGCTCTTAGTTATTTTATCTTTAGGAGAGGAAACCTGCTCAGCAAGTCTCTTGACAGCTTCTGCAGACAGTGTTGAAACCTGCTCTTTCGCTTAAGTACTTAACAAAAGGAACAAACTCATTACAAGTGTTGGCATTCAGCCAAATGTGCTTGGCCGCTGTGGCGCAGGGAAAATTGACAACCTACAAAAGGTGCCCAGATTCTGCCCTGTGCTGATTCTTTTGCGTGCCTCCTGAAGCATGTGTTAACTGGCACAGAAGCAAAATGTAGCCAAGACCCCTCTTAAGTTGGGAAGGATCACGTGGCTTGCCTCATTAGATTTTAATCCCCCTCCTCAAAAGCCTCTTAAAACAGAGTTTGGCTCTTTATCATGCTGTTCCTCTTCTCAGTGGGAGAAAAGGTATATGATACTTTACAAATACATTAGTTTAGAGGTCTTCAAACTTGGCAACTTTAAGACTTGTGGACTTTAACTCCCAGAATTCCCCAGCCGGCTCTGCAGAATTCTGGGAGTTGAAGTCTACAAGTCTTAAAGTTGCCAAGTTTGGGGGACCCCTGCATTAGCTGTTCCCAGTAGAGAAATTCAAAATTTTTTTACTACCAATTCTGTGGGTGTGACTTGATGGGCGTGGCAGGGGAAGGATATTACAAAATCTCCATTCCAACCCCACTCTAGGGCCAGCCAGAGGTGGCATTTGCCGGTTCTCTGAACTACTCAAAATTTCCACTACCGGTTCTCCAGAACCTGTCAGAACCTGCTGAATTTCACCCCTGTTTGCTCTGATCTGAGCTTCCCTTCTACAGTTATGTTCTGTCCCTCAGTTTCCTGGATGATGCTCATCAGAACAGTGCTTTAATGTTTTTCCCCCTTAAGGGCCATTGTTCATACCTCCTTATGCATTGCTAGTTATTTATAGGTACCTAAACAGAAAGTCAGTCAGGAAGAAAGGGGACACTATGGCTCAGTGGCTAAGACATTGAACTTGTCAATCGAAAGGTCGGCAGTTCGCCGTTTCGACTCCCTAGCACCATGTAATGGAGTGAGTTCCCATTACTTGTCCCAGCTTCTGCTAACCTAGCAGTTCGAAAGCATGTAAAAATGCAAGTAGAAATATAGGAACCATCTTTCTGTGCGCCTTCAGCATTCAGTCATCCTGGCCACATGACCACGGAGATGACTTTGGACAGCGCTGGCTCTTCAGCTTTGAAACGGAGATGAGCACTGTCCCCTAGAGTCAGGAACGACTAGCACATATGTGTAAGGGGAACCTTTGCCTTTACTTTTAAACAGAAAGTCAAAATGTCTATATCTAATCTTGATAGTAGCTAACTATTTAAATGGCATAGAAAGAGAAAGACTGGTATCAATTTGAAGATTACTTATTTTTTTTGTTTTGATATTGTAATTTCCATAAATTCCTGGTAATTTCTATTTTAAAATAAACTTGTAAACCACATTTAAATAATCCAAAAAATAATTACATGAAACAGTATGATAAAAATGTAGACAAGATTTAAAATAAAAGTAGAAGCACAGTTGGTGGATATTTCTATATCTGTCTGTAACCACTGATTGTGCTGCCTCTTCTCCTGTCTTACTACTATGGTGGCATTACTAGGCACATTGTAATAATATAATTTCCATCCTTGTCAATTTCAAACTCTTTCTGCCAACCTCAAACTTTTCCTTATAGCTTCCTTCTTCTAAGCATTCCATCCTTTTCTCGTGTAACATCAACCTATCAACATAGTCCATATCTGTCCACATTCCTCTTCTCTATCCAGTTCTCTAACAGAATCCATATAAATCCATCCCAACTGACTCTAAGCCTAAAAATCTAAATGAGTGTTTCTCAACCTTGACCACTTGAAGATGTCAGGACTTCAAGTGGCCAAGGTTGAGAAACACTGATCTAAATCTTATACCCGAGGATTAGTCATCTTTTGAGAGATGCTCTTAGAAATTACAGCTTGCTGAGACTTTGTAGTAGGAAGCCAGTTCTCATCCACTTTACTACTCCCTTCTTTGACTTTGCCCGTGCCATATCCTGAAGCTTTTCTCATTCATGGCACAGGACTCTTCTGAAGCTTATCCTACTAGATGGCCTAACAAGATTTTTATTCATTTTGTGCTGGTCTCTTGAATGTGTTTATCAGAGCCAACCTGCACATGTCTGCTGACTGGGTTTGTTGCAAGAGAGATCGATCCTTTGGGACAGAGGACAGTGCCCTTCTAATGTGTATTAAATTGCCTAACCCATCTCTTGTAAAAGCATCTCAAGCAATGTATAATTAAAGTAATATTTTTTCTGTGCAGGTAACACTTTGCCTAGCCGCCAAGCACAGGAGCAATCAAACGGATTTTCTTCAGAGCTTCAGCAAGGAAATGCAGACTCTCCAAAACACACACAGGTAGTTAACTCAAGACACCAAACGATGGAGAAACTGAACATCAACCAACAAAGAAACTTGAGTCCACAAGCACCAGGTTCCAACGTATCATCCCCAAGCTCACTGCAGTTCAGGAAACTCCCAGTGACTCCCAAAGAGGCCTGCCGATCTAGAATGTTACCCTTGACACAGAACCTGGACAACCTAGTTTACGAAAGCATTGGCATTAAAGAACAGGAATTATATAGCCAGGAAGGGTTGGAAGGAAGGACAGGCTGTCAGATGGCAGCGAATGATAACTCGATCACTGCCACGACCCATGGATCTGGAGCAGGGCCTGTGGCGCTTGGTGGGAAAGATTCTGAAGCTGCAGGATCCAACAATGTGCATGTGCCGTTGTGTCCAGCTCAACCATGCCAGGAGTCATGTGGCCAGTTGCAGGAAATGGCACCTGAGCAAGAGGCCCCCCAGGCTCAGCTTGAGTCTGACTCAAGGAGACTAAGTGCCATGTATGCTCGAGTGTGCAAGCGAACCAAGGCATCTCAGCCAATGCAACCTGAAAATCGTGATGAGCCTAAGGAACAAGAAGAAGAAGAAGAACCCCCACCCATTCCAGAAAAATGTTTTGAGCACATCTATGAAAGCCTGAAGGTTTATGACAAGCTGCACGATGGGGGCTTGTAGGTGCATCTCTTTCTAAACTGGAAGGTGTATGTTCTAATTGGGCAACTTTAAATGTCATCCATTAAGCAGAAAAGTCAGTTATGTACATTCATATGGTATTCATAAATATCTGTGGGATATATGTGCTAGTAAAAAATTGTCTGAAATGTAAGTTTTTTTTTAAAAAAAATGTTCAAACTGCTACTATTTTCCATCTTCCCCAAAATCCCAGTACTGGAAAGTTCTATCCTTTTCTTCCACTTTTGTAGCAAACACTTTTTTCCATCCTGACATTAATTCTGACTTCTCTGGCCTTTTTTTTCATTGCCCAGTCAATTTGGAAGCACTCTTCTAGCAATGGCAGGGCCAATGTGAGCTGGCAAGAAGGTGTCCATCCAAAAAGATGAAGAAGTCTTTAGAGTTGATAAATTCAAGACTTCAGTTGGTTACAAAAAGTGTTAAATATGTACTTGGATATAAACAAATTCTGAAAATGATTTGGCAGGGCAAAGCCAAGTTAGTTATCCTAATCAATAACTGCCCTGCTTTGAGAAGGTCAGAAATTGAGTGCTGTGCTGTGTTGGGCAAAACTGTTGTGCATAACTATAGTGGCAACAATATTGAACTGGGAACAACTTGTGGGAAGTAGTGCAGAGTAGGTGCACTTGATATAATTGAACCAAGTGACTTTGACATCATGCCAGAACAAACAGTGAGAAGTAAAATTAATAAACTTAAATTCTGTATAATAAAATTGGCTATAAATCTATGGTAAAATGATGTTCATCATATCATAATACCCCTGAACTTATTTCAAACCCTCATTTGACGGATGTGGAAATTGGGTTTTAGAAGAAAGTTGACAAAGACTGAACAACTATGTGCATAACTGACTATATGGTCTTGACTCACCTGTCTTTTATCTTGCAATTAAGCAGGATGGTTATCAGTAGTGGGTGGAACTTACAGCTTCATAGAAAACAAAAGTGAACTGTACTTTTAAGATGGGAAGCAATTTAAGGTTTTTTTAGCAGCTTGGTACTTTCTGTGATTATAACCCTCTTATCATTTCCGCAAGGGAGGATGCTGTGAAGGATAAAATTAGATTTTGGACTCCCCAAAATTTGGGTCCTTTCTTGGAGAATACACTGGGAATGATAGGTTTTATAATCCCAAACCTTCCATAATCTGTAAACATAACCCGGGTGATGGGACTGGCATACAGAATGCCCCAAAATGTAGGAAAAGTAGTTTTAAGTAACTCTAAACTGGGGTTTTTAATGTGGGATTTTACATCACTACTCAGTGGTGGCTCTCCTGTTTGAATATGTATGCTCTGAATTGTCCTACACTCTGCCACAATTTAATTTCCAGAACTCTTAAAGAGGGGAGAGGGAAGAAATCATTTCTGAGTCTTGGAACATACATTCAACTAACTACACCTTTGGGTAATTATTTTGCTCAAATGAGAAACTGCATTATACAAATGATAGGGGACATTTTGCATTCTGTCAAATTGTAATATTCAAGATACACCAAATCTATTGCATGTGTTTTAAATATGTATTTAATCTATTTTTTAAAATAACTTATCTTCACTTTTTGCATTGACAAAGGAATCAAGGCAGCTAATAAAATTAAAATGGACTTTTATTCCAGGATCAGTAACTTGATTGTTGTTTGTTTATTCATACAGTTTAAAGGCCACACAATTCCCAATTATTATGGGGTGGGGGGTTGGTATCACCAAACTAAGGAATTCATAAGTGTTCCAAAGACCAAATATACCTACTGCACAGGGAAGGCACATTGCTTAATTACTTAATGGGACCTGAAGTACATTCACTTTGTCCAGTGTCACTGGGTGATCAGAAACAACTGGAGACAATTGGTTGCTCAATCAGGCCATTAAAAGCTTTATGGGAGAGAAGCATCTCCCACAATGAGGCAATTTTTTTTAAATTGGCACTGTTGCAAAAGCTCCACTACCCGAGTCCCAAGGGCAAAACCAACAAGTAAGTGTTCAACCATAGCACAGAGAGCAACTTTCCAGCACCAGTATGGTTTTAAGATAGATGAAATAGTCCCACAGATGTCTCCACCCAGCCTGGCAGTGCTGCCAGATCCCCCGAAGTCTCCAGCTCCTTTTCAGGGACCTCTTCACTGTCGTGCCCCACCCCCCAGACAAAAGAGTTAAATCAACTACCCAAGGCCAAATAGAAAGCCCTCTAAGTCTTAGATAGACCCACATCTCAGAAAGCTGGCAATCCTACTGTAACCAGTCACACACTTCCAGTTGATGGTCGGGAACCTTGCCTGATCTTTTCAACTGTAGCTCACCACATATTCAGCTGGCAGGGAAACCAAGACATGCTCAGCTTTAGACCTCAAGCCAGTGGCTTGCCAGCATGCTCCCTGCTCCCCTTCACAAAGTGGCTGCAGTCCAATGCAAACCCAAGCATGGTCTCTGGCATTACATGCTGGTTTCCAACCCATCTCCTTAGTCTTTCTGACTATCCATACCAAAGGTGCTTTTTCAAGAGGCAACTGGGCTTTCTGTTTTTTTTTTCCTTTGAAGATGTTTTGCTTCTCATCCAAGATATTCGCTTCTTGGATGAGAAGCGAAATGTCTTCAAAGGAAAAAACAAAGTCCAGTTGCCTCTTGAAAAAGCACTTTTGGGACAACCATGACCTGGATGACTGAGAATCTCCATAGAAATCCATATTGATAGTTACAAAAGAAAGGAAGCTCTATGTGCACGAGAGTTCAAACATTATGGTTCTAAAGAACTGGTTCTTTACTGGTTTTTCTTGCATATAACAGCACTCCAGCATGTTCCTGGTGGTGCTTTTGATTAGAGCAGGATATTCGCTAGACTCTGTAATTTTAGAATTGCAAGGACTAAGAGAGTGATTTATGCTTTCTCAGGAAGCCTAGGTCAGAACAATTTTGGGGAGTGAAATAGACGACCATGCTTTCTCAACCAAAGTAAGATATGCCTTATTCTATGATCTTCTCGCATTGAATTGGCAATGTGATTCCATCTAGCAGAGATGTGGAACCAGTGGTGGGTTTCAAAAAAATTTCGAACCTACTCTGTGGGTGTGGCCTCCTTTGTGGGAGCGGCTTGCCGGCCATGTGACCTGGTGGGAGTGGCTTGCCAGCCATGTGTTTTCCCTCTCTCTCTCTCTCTGTCTCTGTCTCTCTCTCTCTCTCCCTCCTTCCTTTTGTCTCTCTGTCCCTTTTTCTTTTTTTTCTTTCATCTCTCTCTCTTTTTATTTCTTTTTTCTTTTTTTCTTTCTTTCTTCCTTTCTTTCTCTTTCTCTCTCTGTGTGAATCTGTGTGTGTGTGTGTGTGTCAGTGGTGGGTTTCAAAAATTTTTGGAATCTCTTCTGTAGGTGTGGCCTGCTTTCTGGTGGAACCTCTTCTAACCGGTTCGGTAGATTTGACGAACCGGTTCTACCGAACTGGTGCGAACTGGTGGGAACCCACCTCTGTGTGGAACCTATTGTAATTTCCAGAGTGAGTTGCACAAATGTATCTAGAAAACAAGAACAGCCTGGTTTTAATAACTTCAAGAGACTGGATGCCTTTTTATCCCCCCCCCCTTTCCCTCAGTGCTTAGACATATAATGTAATTCTTCTAATATCATGACTAATTCATAATGTGGAAATTAAATAGCAGCCAGCCAAATATTCATCTTTGTCGGCCATGTATTTGGGAATTAATGTTTTTAATATGACTAATCTCCTGAGCTTTGTGTACTGATGTACTCTCACAACAGGTGTCAGCGATCAGCTGTTCAAGGACTAATTCCCATTGATGTCCTGGTGACCTGTCTTTGAACTGCACCACTTCAGATTATAGGTGGGGGTTTATGTAATTAATTGAACCATGAAATTTTTGTCATGGCTTTATTCCTTTCGAATAAAACTTCTCAGAGAAAATCCTTCTCATTCAACAGGCTAGGTCTTCTATTATTTGAGAGAAAAGGCTACCTCAGAAGGCCTTTGGAAATACATTCGCACTGGCAATGAATGTGGGTCATATTTATGGAAATGCTGACATTTTACGTACTGTTTTATTGATATTTGCATTGGTAACCTGTTACTGTTGCTCAGAAGCACCATTTGCCATTTTGAGCCAATCAGACTGATGAGCTACATAAATCTTACAAATAAATAAAACACTGCATTTTACTTGAATGTTAATCTTTGGGACTAGTTCCTGAAATCTGCAGTGATACACTGTAGAGAAAAAATGATTTTAACGAGGATTAGAAAATTAAAAGGGAAGAGCCATTTTCAATGAAGAATGTAATCTTTCTTTCAGAGGGATAGCTAACTAGAAGATGTTTGGCTAGATTCATGCATAGGTTAATCGAAATACTTTTAGTAGAAAAGAGATAACTCAGTATCTCGTGGCTATAAAAATGAAGAGTTTTTGTTCTTCGTATTTCTGTGGTACAATTACTATGCCTCCTAAAGCATAATAAACTGGTTCCTTGCTTAGTTTTCCTGAAATAGTGCATCACATGTAATTCCATTTATAGAAAAGCAGAACTGATGAAAACTAGATTGTGTATTTGTAATTCCTCCAAAGGCCATAAGGAAGGTGCGGTTAGTCCCCAAATAATTTTTGTTTTGTTGGCCAGACCCAGGACAACACAGACAAGTGCAATTGCTATAAGACAGTGAACAGTCAGTCACTCCCCCCCAAAATGTTGCCTTACATTTACATCCTTCTCTTTATATAAAATGGTGGATTCATGAAACTGTGGATAAATATTCAAGAGGAAGAAGGAACATGGAGGGTCTATCTAGAAATATACAACCAGGAAGCCCAGATATTCCCTCAGGAATAAACATCTGCTAAAATCCAAGAGCTTAATCAAAGAGGTAATCAGTAATTAGTTTAGCTAATTCTGTATGATTTTTCCCCCCTGTGATTATTTTCCCTATTGCTAATGAAATTTGTCTTTGGCTCCTTTGGTTTTAGAAGGGAATTTTGGTCTTTTTTGCTTGTGCAAGACTACATGGTCATACAGTTATCTTTTGGTTTTCATGATGGTTAAGTTCAGTATTTCTAAGCTTGATGTAGGAAGACTGAAACCACTGTTATTTCTATTTTGTAGAGCTGTGCTGAAGGGACAGGTCTGGAGTACAAAGTTTAAGATGCCTCCAACTTGACAACCTAGGAGGGTGAAGAGGATCTTTTCCCTAGCACTTTTGGAAAAAGGAATGTGTCTGAGAGATGTTAAATAAGTGTTTACCAACTTGGGCAGCTTTAAGATGTGTGGACTTCAACTCCCAGAATTCCCCATCCAGCATAGCCATTGTTAAGAACTCTGGGAAGAGGCTTCCTTCATTATGCACCGTTAGGCTAGAGATCTACTGGAAATCATAAAGAGACATCTCATGCTAGAAAACAGTGATGGGATTCAATTTTTTTACTACCGGTTCTGTGGGCGTGGCTTGGTGGGCGTGGCAGGGGAAGGATACTGTAAAATCTCCATTCCCTCCTGATCAGCTGGGACTCGGGAGGCAGAGAATCGATGGGGGCAGGGGCAGTCAGAGGTGGTATTTACCGGTTCTTCGAACTACTCAAAATTTCTGCTACTGGTTCTCCAGAACTGGTCAGAACCTGCTGAATACCACTTCTGCTAGAAAGCCTCAAGACCTCAAGATCCCACACAAGAGGGATTCCTATAATTTTAACAAATGCCACAATTGTTATAATTGGCCAGTAGTAACAATGAAAAAGTTCTGGGAATTGAAGCCCACACATCTGTAATTTCACCAGGTTGGGAAACACTGTTTTACATTACACATACTCCTCCCCCATTTTATAGGAGACTGAAAAATAGTGGCCATTATTATGTCATTATTATGTAAGTCTATAATATCTGGGTATTTAGAAGTTGAGAAAAATACAATGTAAACAAAGTAAAAAGGATTCACCATTACCCTTTCAGTGGCTAGATGCACTTCAGGAACAAAATGTGTGTAGAAAAACAAACTGCTTTCAATTTGCAGTGTTACCCTTGTCCCATCACTCTGAGATCAAAGAAGACATTGTCTTCTGCCCTAATTCCCCTTCTCCCTCCCAACACTTCTGAATACTGGCTGCTATCTGTCTTCTAATGCAACAAAAGAACACTATGTTAATGTTCTGGCCAGCCCTGGGCTAGAACAAAGGGAGATCATTTAGAATTAGGGCTCTGGGATAACCCCGATGTTGCTGCCTGGTTGGGGACTGGCTGGCATTGAGAATAGAAAGCCTGGCGTGGAAAAAGAACTGAAAGTGAGATGAGAGGACAGCCTCACCACCTCTGCCCTAAAGGTTGGGTCCTACCCCCCCCCCCACCTACTGTTTTTCTCTGATTAAAACAGACTTCGCAGGTTTGGGAAAGGGTACAGAAAATTATATCCTCTCCCCATGTTCTGGCAATGACCGTGGGACAAATACTCATATCCAGGCAATCTTTGTCACTCTGCAAAACATTTGGCTAAATCTCCTGCTTCTAATGGGTAGAATCCTATCTATTTCACATGGCACTCTTGAAGTCTACTGCTTTGACAATAAAGTAAGATTGGGTGAGTTTACTCACGTATACCTGTAAGAGGTATCTTTGCCTACTGTTTGCATTCTAGCCTTCTGAGTCAC